GTCCATCCTGACCAGTTTTTCGAGCTGCGTCCAGCTGTTGCCGTGAGGGCCCCCTGGCAAGCCCCGAAAAGGGCGGAACGAGCTCCTCGTAAGCTCCCCCTCGCCTTTGCCCCCTTCTTCTGCGCGCCGCCAAACAGGACGGGAGCAAGAAGGTCAAGACCAAGTCCGGGAAGAAGAAGGGCTGCTGCTGAGCGCCGGCGGTGGCCGTTTGCCCCGTGGGGGCTTTTGATTTATCGCCTCCGTTGCCCAACGCTGCCGTTTGCCGCCCCATCCGCAGACCTCCGACGTCGTGATTCTGTTGACGACGCGGCCCCCCGAGGCTGTCGACCCCATCCTGCGCCAGGACCGGCTTCCCCTCGCGGGTCTCTGTTAGATGGCCTGCGGAGCCCGGGGGAACGGCCCCGAGGGGGTGGGGTTGCCCAAGTCCCAGGGAAGCCAGCCATCGTCACTTTTTTCTTGGCGGCGCTGGAGGTCTGGGGGTCCATTGTACGCGCTCCACCCGGGAGCCAAAGCGTCTGCCAAAGAGCTGTAGGGAGCAGCGGGAGCTGCAGGGCGACGGCGAGCCCCGAGCCGTTCCAGGGCCCGAGGGGGCCCCGGGGCGGCTCCGGGGCCGAGGTCGCGCCGCAGGCCGTTCGCGCGTGCCGTGCGTAAAAGAACTGGCAGCTATGGCCAGCGTAAAAAAGAGGGGGAGCTCCTCAGCACAAAATGATCGACGCTTCGCGTGTGTGGGTTGTTCCCCGATCTGTGCTTGCGCCTAGGGGCCACTATCTATCTTCTAGGTAATCGGACTTGGTCGGCGCCCATGAGCGCCTCGTGGGCGCCATCTGCGAAGTTGCTGATTGTTGCGTGTTCGCCCGGTGTGCGCCCGTGGACGCCTCGTGGGCACCCCGTGTTTGGTGGCTGATTGTTGGGTTTTCGCCTGGTGGGCGCCCGTGGGCACCTCGTCGCCACCTCCATAGTTAGCTTGCACCAAAGAGTTTGCACCATATATTTACGATGTAGACGTATCTGCTTGAGTCGCTGCCGCAGCATAGGTCACACGATATAGCTTGCACCACAAGCTTAGACCACACAGCTTGCACCACACCGAGGGGCCCCCGGGCGGCTCCAGGGCCGAGATCGCGCCGCAGGCCGTCCGCGCGTGCCGTGCGTAAAAGAACCGGCAGCTATGGCCAGCGTAAAAAAGAGGGGGAGCTCCTCGGGCACAAAATGATTGACGCTTCGCGTGTGTGGGTTTTTTCCTCGAACTGTGCTTGCACCTGCGGGCAATGATCTGCCATTATCTATCTTCTAGGTAATCGGACCTGGTTGTTGGGTGCCCGCTCGAAGAGTGCCCATGGGCGCCTCGTGTGCGCCATCTGCGTGTTGCTGGTTGTTGGGTGTTCGCCCGGTGTGCGCCCGTGGACGCCTCGTGGGCACCCCGTGTGTGTGGTGGCTGGTTGTTAGGTTTTCGCCTGGTGTGCGCCCGTGGGCGCCTCGTCGCCACCCCCATAGTTAGCTTGCACCAAGGAGCCTGCGCAATGTATTTACGATGTAGATGTATCTGCTTGAGTCACTGCCGCAACATAGCTCACACCACATAGCATGCATCACGAGCTTAGACCACACAGCTTGCACTACATGGCTTGCACCTGACAGCTTGCATAACATAGTCTGCAGCACTTGGTTTGCAATATCTAGATTCTCCTTTCTAGAAAGAGAATAGACTCTGCCCCTCCCCCCCCCGGCGTTATCCGCCCCCCTTTCGGGTATGTAAATCATATATGATTATGACCACATGTCCATCCTAAATAAGGATCTACAGTATCCCAGGGGGCCGGTATCGCTCCCCCTGAGGTTCCCTTGTAAACAACGATACGCGGGGACATTTGTTGCTCTAACATAAAAATTGTTCGCGAATCCCCGAAAAAAATGAGACGAAGTGCGCACGCGCGCGTCCTCGCGCGCGCATGCCGAGATCCGCCAAAAACCTTCGGTGTCGGAAGGATTTCGCAATCGAGTTCCCAAAAAACATTAAAAATCATAGGGTTTCGCAACACTGATTTGCTGAAAAAGCTTACGCGCGATCTCCTTCGAAAACTTAAAACAAACCATCGATTTTTCAAGATTTTCAAAACATGCTACCAAACGGGCTTCGCGCGCGCGCGCATGTCGAAATCTGTCGAACGCCCTTGCGCGTGTGCAATCGCGAGAATCCTCTGCAAACAATGGGACGAAGTGCAGACGCGCGCGTCGTCGCGCGCGTATGCCGAAATCCTTCAAAACCAATCGGTTTCGGAAGGATTTCAACATCGTGTGTCCCAAAAATGTACAAAAACGCAAGATTTCGCAACACGGATTTTCAACAAAAGCGTGCGCGCGCGCTTTTGCGTCGTCGTCGTCGTCGTCGCCGTCCTCCCTCCTCCCGCGTCGTCGTCGTCGTCGCCTACGTCGTCCTCTGTTTTTCCGTGTGTTCGTCGTCGTCCTCCTCTTTGGCGTCGTGGTCGTTTCCGTCGTCGATGTCGCCGTGCTCGTCCTTCCTCCTCCCTCGTCGTCGTCGTCGTCGTCCGTCGTCGGCGTCCCGTTGTCGTCCCCCTTATTTCGTCGCCGTCGTCGTCGTCGTCGTCGTCGTCGTCGTCGTCGTCTTCCCTCCTCCCTCGTCGTTGTCGTCGTCGTCGGCGTCGCCGTCCTTCCTCCTTCGTCGTTCGCGTCGTCGCCGTCCTCCCTCCTCCTTCGTCGTTGTTGTCGTTGTCGTCGTTGTCGCCGTCGTCGTCCTCCCTCCTCGCTCGTTGGCGACGTCGTCGTCGTCTGCGTCGTCGTCGTTGGCGTCGGCGTCGTCGTCGTCTTCGTCGTCGTCGACGTCGGCGTCGTCGTCGTCGCCGCCGTCGTCGTCGTCGTCGTCGTCGTCGTTGGCGTCGTTGACGTCGTCGTCGTCGTCGTCGATGTCGTTGTCGTCGTCATCGTCGTCGTCGTTGTCATCGTCGTCGTACTCGTCGGCGTCGGCGTCGGCGTCGTCGTCGTCAGTGTCGTCGTCGTCGTCGTCGTCGTCGTCGTCGTCGTTGTCCGCGTCGTCGAAGTCGTTGGAGACGTCGTCGGTGTCGTCGTAGTCGTTGTCGGCGGCGTCGTCGTCGTCGTTGTCGCTGTCGTCGTCGGCGTCGCTCTCGTTGCCAAGTGCCATTTGGTACCCACCGTCACGGTCTTAAGAGATTTTGCAAACCAAGTTGCGGGTGGGTGGGTGGGATGTTTGCGCGAGCAGTGGAGTGGACAACTTACTGCGAACAGAAATTAATTGCACCACATAGCTTGCACCACGTAGATTACGCCACATAGCTTGCTCAGCATAACTTATATCGCATAGCTTATGTCACATAGCTTGCGCCACGTACATTGCGCCACATAGTTTACTCCGCATAGCTTACACCACATAGCTTGCACCATCTAGCGTACACCACAGATCCAGAGTGCAATAGCTCACTGTCTGCTGCATGTTGGCAAACATCTTTGGTCTGGGGCACGTAGGAGCAACCAGTTTGACAAAGAGGGGGGAAGGCAGCCGTTGAGCCGGAAAGCGGGAACAGCCTGAGCAGACCGAGGTGTCAACCACAAACGTCTTCGCGGATGGTTCGGCATGTTCTTTAGATAATTTTGGGACCGCCTCGGGACCATTTAGGAGGCCTTGGGGGCTCTTTGGGGGCTCTCTTGGGGGCTTTTCGGGCCCTCTCGGGGCGATCCAGGAGACCATCCTCCAAAAAGGGGGTTGCTCGATTACAGCCCCCGTGGCGGAGTCCAGAAAAATCGTCTCTTGGAACCCTGCAGCGATCTTGGGCTCTCTTGGGGCCATCTTCAAGCCCTAGAAGCCCATCGGATACCATCAGAAGCCAATTCGGGCCATCTTGCGCCATTTTGAGCCATCTTGGTCCAAAAGCTCCCAATACCCATCCAACACATGCGTAATGTTTCAATGACTCTATGCTTGTCAAGGAATAGAATTGGACCGCTGCGGACCTCATCGTAGGCTTCCAGTCGGAGCTAGACACGACGCCTTTTTGGGCGCTCTTGGGGCCGTCTTGGGACTCTTCTGGGTCCCTCCTTCTGTGCTCTATTGGGCGAGCTTGGAGCCACCTTGAGGCCTCGTATTCCCATCGGAAGCGAAAAGGTGAGAAGGCCTATATCATTGAAACGTTTTAGTTTGTGAGAGAGATTTGGCTCATCGGGGGTATCCTTGGGCAGATTCGTGTCCACTTAAAGCTGTCTGCTGGTGATCTTGAGGCCTCATGTCGACATTTTGGGATTCGCCTTGGGCTACCTTGTGAACATCTTGGAGGCCATCTTGTTCTGCTGGGTCCATCTTGGACCATCTTAGAAGCACTAGCCCCTCGCGAGTCCCACCCCCCCCCCCTGCAAGACCCAGGGGAGGGGGGACGGGGACGGGTCAGGCTACACACAAGCCGCAAGCCTTCCCGCTCACTCTCACCCGCCCTCCCAACATAGTACTTATCACCGTAGTCTCAGCATATTCAGCCGTCGCCACTGGATGCCACTGGGAACCAACACAGACGCCAGGTGCGCGACGCGTGCCACTCGCGCCACACGAGCATGGTTTTGTCTTTGTCGCCAGTAGGGTGGTGGAGAGGGTGTCAGTAGATCAGGAATAGAGGTAAACCCTCCCTGATGGAAAGAAGGTCGTTGGAGGAGCTTTGCCCCTGAACCCAGCCAATCAGCAAGGTTGTGGTGCTGGGAAGTGCGTGGCTGTGGCGCGCTTGAGGTCCAGTGCCCGTACGGCGCCATCACTTCACTGCTGCGAAAGGCTTCGGGCCAGGGCTTGCTCCTGCTGCTCCTTCTCTCACCCTCGCCCTCATCCACTTGCTCCGCTTCTCCTCGTCTCCTCCTCCCCTGCGGCCGTCTCTGCTCAAGCCGTTCGTTCGCCCGAGCCGTCGTGGCTCCGCTGGCCCACCCACCCCCAGGGTGCCTTTTCGCTGCCACCCCCGCCTCTCCGCAGAAAGGCCGCCCACGCCTGAGCGATGTCGGCCGGCGTGCCCATGGAGCCCCAGCAGGAGATGATGTACGCGGCGCCCGCGGAGCCGCAGCGCATGAACATCTCCCCGGAGATGTTCCAGAAGCTCATGGCCGGGCATCCCGTGACTGAGGAGGAGATCCACGCGGACGCCGCGGCCATGGGCGGGGCGGCGGCCATGGGCGGGGCGGCGCCCGTCGTGGAGGCGGCCACGGCGGCGGTCGACGCCGCCGCCGACGCGGTGGGCGCGAAGAAGAAGTCCAAGAAGGAGAAGAAGAGCAAGGACCGGCGCCGCGCAGAAGGGGGTGGGGCGAGGGGGGCGGCTGGCTGAGGAGGCAGGAGGAACCCCTCTCTGTTTTTTTTTGCCGTAGCCCTTCTCAGAAGCCTCTCAGAAGGGACCGATGCCTTCCAAGAAGCCCTCGGCCCCTTCCTGGAAGGCCGCCCGCCCAGGGGTCCATCCTGACCAGTGTTTCGAGCTGCGTCCAGCCGTTGCCGTGAGGGCCCCCCCTGGCAGGCCCCGAAAAGGGCGAAACGAGCTCCTCGTCAGCCCCCCTCGCCTCACCCCTCTTCTCCTGCGCGCCGCCGAGCAGGACGGGAGCAAGAAGGTCAAGACCAAGTCCGGGAAGAAGAAGGGCTGCTGCTGAGCGCCGGCGGTGCCCGGCTGCAGGGCGAGGGTGCCGCGGCCATGCGGTCCCGCCGTTTGCCCCGTGGGGGCGTTTTTTTGTTTATCGCCTCCGTTGCCCGACGCTGCCGTTTGCCACCCCATCCGCAGACCTCCGACGCCGTGATTCTGTTGACGACGCGGCCCTCCGAGGCTGTCGACCCCATCCTGCGCCAGGACCGGCTTCCCCTCGAAGGTCTCTGTTGGATGGGCCTGCGGGGCCCGGGGGAACGGCCCCCGAGGGGGCGGGGTTGCCCAAGTCCCAGGGAAGCCAGCCATCGTCGACTTTGTCTCGGCGGCGCTGGAGGTCTGGTGGTCCATTGTACGCGCTCCACCCGGGAGCCAAAGCGTCTGCCAAAGAGCTGCAGGGAGCCGCGGGAGATTGCAGGGCGACGGCGGGCCCCGAGCCGTGCCAGGGCCCCGAGGGGGGCCCCCGGGCGGCTTCGGGGGCCGAGGCCGCGCGGGTCGTGCGCAGAAAGAGTGTCAGCGATGGCCTGCGGCCTCGGAGAGGGGGAGAAGGGTGCGGAGGAAGAGGGGGGGAACTCCTCGGGCGGAGAATTGTAAGCGCTTCGCGCATGGCCACCAGCCAACCTTGAGACGATGCCCAGGCGAGTTGTCTGGAGGATGGGCGTAGATAAAGCATATAGTGCGTGAAGCAAGGCTGTCAACAACGGTGAACTGAGAGACCTCGGGGAGCTGAGAGACCTCGGGGAGCCTCTGGAAGACATCTTGGAGCTCTCTCGGGTGCCCCTTTTGGGAGCCCTCGAGGCGCTCTTGGGGCTCTGTGGAGGTCTGCTTGGGGATCCTTAGGGGCAATCGGTGGGCCGTCTCGGAGGATATCGATCAAAGATAGGGGGGGCGTATTGGGCCCTCTTGGTGTCGTCTTGGAGCCCTACTGGGCCCCTCGTGGGGCTCTTTTGGGCCACCCTGGATTCATTTTGAATATTCAAGAACCCATCGAAAGCGAAACAGCCAGAATGGTAATATGATTGACTTCCTTCTTAGGTTTTGGAAAGAGTTGGCGCTCTCGGGGGCGTCCTTGGGAGGGTCGGAGGCCACTCGGATCCGCCTTTGGCTGGGCGTGAGGCCTCTTGGAGGCATGTAGGAGACTGTTTAGAACCATCTTGGGGTTGTGCCATCGTAGAGGCCATCTTGGGCAATCTGCTGCCATCTTGCGCCATCTTCGGCCCTCCAGCGACCTGTGACCCTCCCTTCCGGACTCAGGGGAGGGGGTACGGGGAGGGGTCGCGCTGATCACAAGACGCAGGCCGTGCCGCTCACTCTAATCCGCCTTCTCAAGACAGAAGTATCACCCGAGCCTCAGCACGGGCAGGGGCCGCCATCGCCAACCATCGGGAGCCAGAGCAGACGCCAGCCAGGGGCGCGACGCCCGCGAGAGGCGCCGCGCGTGCCAGAGTACCCCCCGCCATCCCAACCACATGCACTGCACTGTGATCGCGGGGCGCCCGCGCATGGCCAGCAGTTTGCCGCAGCGTGCACGTTGCATGCATGGTTGGCAGAGGTGGTGTGCCTGCGCATGCGGTGCAATCTGCCGCTCCCCCCCGTCGTCCCTGTCAAAAGGGACTGTGCAGTGATCGCGGGTCGCCCGAGCACGACATTCAGTCTATTGCAATTTGGCAGCCTTTGTTCAAAACAGGCTTGCCCGTAGGAGACCTAGCTCCATGCGTGGAGAATTGGTCCACTGATTCGCGCCCCGCCCCACAGTGTCCTTGCATCGTCAAACTATCCGCATGACTTCTTCTGCCACCCGCATGGTTTCGCCCAGGCTGTCTGCATTGCTTCCCTTGCTATCCGCATGGCCTGGCCCGCTAGAGCCGCGCCTAATAGGTCTAGGGTAGAGCAGGACTAGAGCAGTGCAGGGTAGGAGTAGAACAGGAGTAGAGTAGAGTAATGTACAGCAGGGTCGGGCTCGTCAATCTATCCGAGCCGTTTCCTCTGCTATCCGTATGTTATCGTCCAAACTGTTTGCGTGACTTCTTTTGCTGTCCGCACCGTTCCGTTTGTCTATTCTAGTTGAGGTGAACAGTTTAGGGCTTATAAGAGGAGTAGTAGAGAAAGGGTAGAGATATGAGGATGATTCGGAATTCGGAGTCAAGCTAGCCAGGCCGATCGATCGAGAGGGACCCTCCCACGCCCACCCCCCTACCGCAAAATGCGAACCAAGTGTGGCACAATTTGGTATTGTACGGTATTGGGCGTAGAACGCGTTCCCACCTCGCAAACATAATGCCCTCGCGCGCCGCCCCGCTTCCGAAGACGTGGCGAAGGGAAAACGACGTATGCCGCGCAGGGGAGGGACCCGCACAATTCTTCTGGACGCGGCGAAGCTGAACCATGCGCGGCGCTGACACGGCACTGCCACTTTGACTCACAAGATGCGCGGCGCTTGGGCGATGTCGGTATTTCGCCCGCTCTCGTGAGGCCCCGCTGCCGCCGCCGCTCTCATGTGGTTCGGCAAACGCATCATGCGCCGCGCCCGCGCGGGAAAGCCACTTCCGAACGAAATGCGCACGGCGCTTGGACGAGGTCGACAAGTCGCCCACCTGCGCGCCCCCCAAACATGTGGATTAACAAATATGCGCCGCGTCCGGGCGGGAATGCCAGTTTCATGCGAAATCTGCGTGGCTCCGAGGCGAGAACGACATGTTCGTCCGATCGCGCGTAGACGAAGTTGCGTCGCCTGGGCGGGAGCTGAGTTTTTGTTTTTGTTTGATATTTCTAATAAGAATCATCACCATAGCAACAATAATATTCCTTATAATGAGTGAGCGCGGCGCCGAGGCGACAGCAACACTTCGGCCTTCCGCGTGGGATGTGTGCCGCGTCCCATTACTGCCAGGCACTTGCAGCTTCGATGGCAGAACCCCCAGGGCGAGACGAAACACGCGTTGAGTTTGTGTTCTTCTTCTGGTCGGTAATATGGGCCTCCCAGGTCCAGTTGCTATCGGCCAGCGAGGCAGCAGATCAGGAGCATATACCAACAGGGTCCCATGATAGGAGTAGGAACAGGAGTAGGAGCAGGAGTAAAGTCTGCCAGGTCGAGCGAGCCAGAGGGTCCGCCCATGCCCAGACCCCCCCCCCCGAAACATGACAGGCAATGGTCGTGTCATGTGATCCCTGGGGCGGAGCGCGCCCCCCCACGCCTCGCAAGAGGAAGGCGCTCACGCGCGGCCCCACTCCCGAGGACGTGACGCTAGGAAGGCTGCGCGGGCCGCGCGGGGGAGGGAACGGCAAGATGCTCGATGGGCGCGGCGAAGACGCACCAGGCGCCGCGATGGCACGGCACTGCCACTTTTCCCACAAGATGCGCGGCGCTGGGGCGAGGTCGCCGTTTCGCCCGCTCTCGCGAGGCCCCGTTGCCGCCGCCGTCGTCATGCGGCTCGGCGGGCGAGCCGTGCGCCGCGCCCGCGCGGGAACCCCACTCCCGAACGAGGTGCGAACGGTTCTTGGGGCGACGGCGACGCGTCGCCCACGCGCGCGCCCCCCTCTAACAGAGCGAGTGAAGCATCTGCCCCGTGGCGAGGCGGGAACGCCACCTCCAGGGAGAAGTCTGCGCGACGCCGTGAGGAGGACGCTCGCGCGTCGACGAGGCGAAAAATGAGCGCGGCGCGGAGGCGAGAGCGACATTGATGAGCGCGTTTTCCACCACCACCACCATAAGTTGGATGGGGCGAAGGGGGAGGAGGAGGAGGAGGAGGAGGAGGAGGAGGAGGAGGAGGAGGAGGAGGAGGAGGAGGAGGAGGAGGAGGACCCCCCCCTCCAACTTATGGTGGTGGTGGTGGAAAACACGCTCATCAGACATGTCGGCCCTTCGCGCGGGACGTGCGTCGCGCCCCGGTGTTGCCTCACGTGCTGCAGCGCCGACGACACAACGCCCGTGTTGAGGTGAAGCACGTTGATCTCGGACTTGGTTTTGACAGGTCGGATGCCTCGCTTTTGAAGCATCCTCGCAGTCCTGGGCTCCGAGGCGCTGCGCGCGAGGTGGTCAAGCCCGTCTCGCCTGAGACGCCCTTCGCAATGCCAGGTTCTTTGAAGATGTGCGCGGGGTGGTCCAGTTAGTCTCGCCGGAGACCCCCTTGCAGTTCTGAGTTTTCAGAACATGTGCGCGAGGTGGTCTGGCGCGTTTCGCAACTGGGCTCCGAGATGCCGCGCTCGAGGTGGTCTGACCCGTTTCTCCTGTGCTCTGCGCACCGCGCGCTGGAGGAGGGGCTCTCCGGCGTCGCCAAAGCATCGTGGACGCGTAGCGTTACGTTGGGCATGCCTTTCTACAATCGGAGCATTCAAACATAATCCAACAATTGTCAGGGGACGATTTAATCGCGAAA